AAAGTTTTAGTTTCGAGGCTATTTTGGAGCAGTTTGGCACAATTTTCGCGATTTTTTTTATTTTAAAGCAGCTTAGCACAAAGAAATGAAAATCTATAAAAGATGCGCAATATACGCAGCTGTCTCATCCAGGCTCACAGGGAAGCCAGTCAACTTTTTTCTTTTTCTTTCTACTTTTCGTTTACTTGAGAAACTGAAATGGTTGCGGTAATATCGAGGCCGTGGTTCACAACGTTGCGAAACCACCACAAACGCGGGAAAACAAGCAGCAACATCTGCTGTTTGAAGCAGGTCCAAAACTTCAATCATCTCAGCAGAGCTTTCGGCCACCACCGCTCTTCTTCTTCTTTAAAACTTTGTTTGTTAGCCTGTACATGATGCGAATGCGTCAGCCTGGCTATTTCCATGACGGAACAGGGAGGTCGAGCCTCCTGGCCCTGTCGTGGGTGTACTGGACAGCCAGGATTTGATTGTCATATAAGCTGGTGATCTGATGATCCTTTCGAAGCGGTCACGCTTAATACCGGGCTCCAGTGAATTGCAGTCCCAGAGAATGTGGTCTAATGTGCATGCATTTTTGGTGCAGGCTTTGCATGTAATTTCTATTTCTTCCGCTCCATACCACTGACTCATTTGAACCGGTAAATCATACGATTTTGTTTGTAGCTGTGTAAGTGGCTTGTGCTCTGTTGAAGTTTGCGTGGGGGTGTGGATAGATTCTTCTGCCCAGATAGAAGTGTTTAGTGATTTCATTATACGTGGTGAGTTTATCTTTGTGTAGTGGAATCAATCCAGCGGAGTCAGGACCATTTGTAAAAGCGTGCCGGTCAGTGAGATGGCGGGCAACGCTGTTGGCCGACTCGTTTGGATTGACTCGTAGGCTTTCGATTCTATCCGGGGAACCAGTAAAAAAAACTGCGCCATCACACTGAAAAAGCCGCGCGATCGAAAAAGGGCTGAAGGTCACGAGACACGGTAGTTTCTTCGCCCCTGCCGCCCATCTCTGCTCAGCTTCCAGCGTTTTCGTCGGGACGAGAGAAGAGATAATGCAATTGCATCATGTGACAAACCTTTGTAACTCCACTCGCACTCGATGGAATCCTGATTTTTTTTGTCTGTCTAGGTACATAGGCAATATCTATATTTGAACAGTTTTCTAAAACAGTTAAAAAATGACACTTTCGCATTAGTCAACTTCGTAAGGTATTTTGTTGAGGCAGCAACTCAACCTGTACAGCAAAATAAGATAATAGATTTGCCTAGCTAGTATACAAGCAGCACGCTCGATGCCATCCGACCCGGTGGTTTTCCACAGGCGACAGTGGCACGAGAACACATAGCCTGGCTAGTATACAAGCAGCACGCTCGAGGCCATCCGACCCGGTGGTTTTCCGTAGGCGACAGTGGCACCAGAACACATAGTCTAGCTAGTAGAAGCAGAACGCTTGATATCATCTGACTCGGTGGTTTTCCATAGGTGACAATGGCACCAGAACACACAGCCTATAGCTAGTAGAAACGGCACGCTCAGCGCCATCCGATCTGGCGGTTTTCCATAGGCGACAGTGGCACCAGAACACATAGCCTAGCTAGTATACAAGCAGCACGCTCGATGCACGGCAGCACATTTCTGCGGAGTCACGAATATTTACAACACTTCAGAGGAGATTATGGCGGCACCATGGGAGAATGTGATCAGAAAGGTGCAAAGTAAAAAAAAAAACACAGACGCTTCGTTGCGTCTTATTAGGCAAATCGACCTTTCCCCTCCTCTGATGCTGACGTTGCCATAAAAGTTTTAGTTTCGAGGCTATTTTGGAGCAGTTTGGCACAATTTTCGCGATTTTTTTTATTTTAAAGCAGCTTAGCACAAAGAAATGAAAATCTATAAAAGATGCGCAATATACGCAGCTGTCTCATCCAGGCTCACAGGGAAGCCAGTCAACTTTTTTCTTTTTCTTTCTACTTTTCGTTTACTTGAGAAACTGAAATGGTTGCGGTAATATCGAGGCCGTGGTTCACAACGTTGCGAAACCACCACAAACGCGGGAAACAAGCAGCAACATCTGCTGTTTGAAGCAGGTCCAAAACTTCAATCATCTCAGCAGAGCTTTCGGCCACCACCGCTCTTCTTCTTCTTTAAAACTTTGTTTGTTAGCCTGTACATGATGCGAATGCGTCAGCCTGGCTATTTCCATGACGGAACAGGGAGGTCGAGCCTCCTGGCCCTGTCGTGGGTGTACTGGACAGCCAGGATTTGATTGTCATATAAGCTGGTGATCTGATGATCCTTTCGAAGCGGTCACGCTTAATACCGGGCTCCAGTGAATTGCAGTCCCAGAGAATGTGGTCTAATGTGCATGCATTTTTGGTGCAGGCTTTGCATGTAATTTCTATTTCTTCCGCTCCATACCACTGACTCATTTGAACCGGTAAATCATACGATTTTGTTTGTAGCTGTGTAAGTGGCTTGTGCTCTGTTGAAGTTTGCGTGGGGGTGTGGATAGATTCTTCTGCCCAGATAGAAGTGTTTAGTGATTTCATTATACGTGGTGAGTTTATCTTTGTGTAGTGGAATCAATCCAGCGGAGTCAGGACCATTTGTAAAAGCGTGCCGGTCAGTGAGATGGCGGGCAACGCTGTTGGCCGACTCGTTTGGATTGACTCGTAGGCTTTCGATTCTATCCGGGGAACCAGTAAAAAAAACTGCGCCATCACACTGAAAAAGCCGCGCGATCGAAAAAAGGGCTGAAGGTCACGAGACACGGTAGTTTCTTCGCCCCTGCCGCCCATCTCTGCTCAGCTTCCAGCGTTTTCGTCGGGACGAGAGAAGAGATAATGCAATTGCATCATGTGACAAACCTTTGTAACTCCACTCGCACTCGATGGAATCCTGATTTTTTTTGTCTGTCTAGGTACATAGGCAATATCTATATTTGAACAGTTTTCTAAAACAGTTAAAAAATGACACTTTCGCATTAGTCAACTTCGTAAGGTATTTTTGTTGAGGCAGCAACTCAACCTGTACAGCAAAAATAAGATAATAGATTTCATATCTGGATATTGGTACAGCAGCTTCCATAATGCCTCTTTTAAGCACAGAATCGTGGAATGATGTAAGTTTACCTCGAATTGCTTTTATTTAAATCGTCGGAATTTATCTGAAGCTTTGCACTCGGTGAGCCTTGCTACCTCAGAAGCGAAAATAAGCTAACAGTATTGATGTCATATAGCCGTCTCTACACTTTCTCCCTTATACGTTTCTCGATGTGCTATGTTCCCAATAAAGAGCTAGTCAAGGCTAACAAATTGTCGAATGAAGCGGCGTACATATGGTTCGCAAACTACTGGCGATCACGAGCAGTGGGGCTCGCTTATAGTGGTGAGTGAAGCGATATCACTGCGCGTGTTTCAGCTGATTGCTCGTGTAATTTACCTTCTTTTAATACTTTTACAAGTATAGCATCTTTGATGCCATTGCGAGGTTACTCGTGCGAAGGAGTTTTTTTTCCTCATCCGTACTCATTTTGCGCGTTTTTACGCACACACCAACGTTCACAAGCTCAGTCACCTTAACGGGCCACGCTGCATGGTGCCATTTGACACATGATTTTTCTTGCGTTATGTTGTTACCTCAGCACTAACACAAAGCTTTCAGATGGGTAAGCCCAATTCTGCACCGTAATATTGAAGTTATGTAAGGCCTATTCAATTCACCCTAAGTTCTCTGCACCTTTTTACGGTGCACTGCACGTCGCTCCTCGATTCTCAAAAGTACAACGCCGCCCCCCGCACGTCCTGCGTCCTCGATTGTACAGAGTTAGGTGTCGCCGTGGTGCCGCGATCCCTAGGGCGCCTGAACGGTTTCTCTCGCCCGCCGGTGGGCGAGGGAAACCATTCAGGCACCCTAGCGAACCCTTGCACCTTTTAGCGCGAGGGTGCAGCCATGGTGCAGCATTTTGGTGCAGCCTCGCACATTCCTGTCGCGCGCTTGCAGACCACGACCGGCTTTATAAATATAAAGCCGGTCGTGTTGCAGACATACCTTGAGACACGCCCGTGGGACGTCGTAGACATCGACGGTGTACCGACGGAAGTTTTTCTGATTGTGGACGATCTTGACCTGATAATCCTAGCCGGCGACACCGAACTCTACGTTACAGCAGGTAATTGTGCAGAAGTGATAGCATTCTTGAGAAGTTCGCTCAGATGCAGGACCGCGACATTTCTTCGTTATCCGTTGTTTTTCTTGTTTTCAGATGGCAGAACATTGCGGGTTGTATGCACGTCGGGCCAACTTGCCATCACCGACTCGACAAACGGGAGTGATACGTATACAACGGCGCAAGACCACCGACGACGCAAGTGGCCACTGCAGCAGCTGCCCCGTGCTTCGTCATAGCGCTGATCAAGGTCCTGCACGTCACAAAGACTCTGACGGAGCGCTGTGGAGTGGAAGAAAGATGAACTTTTTTATTGATAAAGATAAAGATAATTTCGGAAATATCGGCAAAAAGGCGCTTGGACGCGTAGTAAAAATAACGGACCACAACTTCCTCGCAGTACCTAGGTGTGCGGTTACGATCGCTGCACACCAGTTGAGCACTGATTTGACATAACACTACGTCAACTGCGTCCAGTTCCTCGTCTTCACTGTAGAATTCAGCTATTTCCATGGCAATGAGGAATTCCTCCATGCTGACAAATCAGTGGAATTTGTATATAATCGCACCACAGCTGAAACTGAGCAGCAGACGACAGGTGTTCTCTGCTTGCACCTCAGCATTCCATTTGCACTAAGCAGTGACGCTGCTGATGCGTTGCATTTGTACCCCGAAACTCTATGCCCTGTAATAGGTGCTGAGACACCTAACTACACCTGCTGCAACTTTTTGTATGCAAAGCCGTGCACTTCTTTCGAATCGAGTTGTATTTGTGAGAAACTCTATGCTTACGAAGTTTCTACTCTGGCAACGCTGAGAGCCCGGCGTAAACAAAAGTTGCAAATATGGCGTTGCTTTCGAGCGGGGTGGTTGTGGTTTTGGGATTTATATTACGTTTGGGGCTTATTTATACACCTCTGGCGCGATCGGTATCCGAACGAGTCGAAGTGTCAACACCTATGAACTCATGGAGGCGGGGTAAGAATATATGTAACTTAAGTATGCATATTGTCGTGCTGCCGGCGTTTGGAGTTGGCCATGTGTGGCGTCGCATGTCATGTGTCAGAATTCTGCTTCCATGTGGTACACGCTTGTCACTTGTTTATTTGAACGTTGTAATGATGACATGTTACAATGTTAGCATACCCAGGTAACATGTTACCATTTAACGCTGATCAAACAACAATGTAAAATGTTAACGTTGTAACCTGTAGCCTGTATTACTATTCGTAATAATCTGTGGCAAAATTGGTATGTGCAACTAGGCAGACATGTCGAGAAGCAAGAGGTTAAACAAGAGGTTAACGTTGTTATGTTATTGATATGCGCATTTTCAGTGGGCGATTTTTTACTAAGCCTGAAGGAAGAACTGCGATCTGCCTCAGCTCACGACGTAGCAGCTCTTAGCGCTTCGAAGGGAAAATAAGAAGCTCGGCATTTGTAAGCCTGTATGTGAAGAAAAGTATCTATATTTCAAAGTACCTTACAGGCCCCGTGGGGAGCCTTTAGTAAGGGGAGGATCATGAACATGAAAGAATGGCAGACACCTCAAAGTGTTGTGTCCAATCCAAGCACCACAGAGACACTCCGTGTGTGTGCGCTCTCTCAAAACAAAACAAAAACAAAAATCAATACATCAAGGGCAGAAAAGTGTCTACAATAATGCACTTGAAAAATCGTGGAACAATGGCATTAAGTGGCGAAACAATACTAAGAATACCCATAATATGAATTGAAAGTAACACTCATGGTAGCATAAAAAGGACACACACACACACGCACGCACGCACGCGCACACACACACACACAATGTGAAAAAGAACAAATATATGTATGTGTGTGTGTGTGTATGTAGTGTACACTTCTACAATATGCTTGTTGACATTTCAATTGGTCTCCAATCGAAACGTCAATGAATAAACAGTTAACAGCTTTGTTGATGCGTATACCTTTCTCAATTTGTTTTATGGCATCCAAAAATAAAGCCTTCAGTGTGTATATATATATATATATATATATATATATATATATATCTGTGTGTGTGTGTGCATGCACGTGTGTGTGCATGCACGTGTGTGTGCATGCAAGGATGGGACGACGGAACTTACATGAAAGCATCTTTACTGAACGTTTTAAGCTGGTTATTGTGATGAAGGCTGGGCTGCCATCCGAAAACATTCAGTGAAGACACTTTCATAAAGTTTCGCTGTCGGGTCCAGCGTGAATGACATCGAAAGAATCCGGTATATGTATATATATCTTCAGGTTCTTTCATTTTTCACTGCATTCTAGTCACAGAAGGGCTCTACCTCTATCGTATGCAGCTCTCCCCGTATGATGGAGATATTTTTCATGAGGTAAGCTCATTGATGTTGTGAACCTGCAGGTACGAAGTATGCGCTGTCAACCTTCGTGAAAATAACATATTGGTTTTTTTCTTTGCAGCCTCCTTTGAGCTTAATTATGTATGACTATGTCACAAAAACCATGGAGAAGCAGTGGATACCACTTTTGTTTATTGTAAGTTCCACATTTTTTTCTCTGTCTTTGTTTCCCCTTAACTTTATTGTAGTGATTACACAATCACAATGTAAACAGAGGTCATTTTGGATTGTGGAAGAGTTCGTACGTTCTGGGTACGAATGATATGCTTCCCTCGTACTGGTTCATGACAGCGATAACCAGTCACAGCGCCTATTATTTTTGTGGCTGATAGCGAAACGTGTTAATAGCAAAGCCACCACCATCGTTGCGGCTGTGTCGAGACAGCACAATTGGGCAAGTGCTGTGGTCGTTAGTAAGTGGAACATTGGGGAGCACTAGAGTCATTGTGCGCACTAGCGCATGAGCGAGTTTGTCACGTGGTGTTTTTTTCGTACTTCGCGGGCGTTTGTAATTAGCAGAAAAACACTAATACTTACCAGATATAAAGCTCAAAACTTTATAATAGGACGTTTTGCAAACCGATCTACAACTTTCTCATTGAATTTTTGTGTTCATCTTCGTTCCTTCAAAAGTTATTTAAGCATATCTAATAAACAATACTTTTGAACACAAGAATAGTCCAACTCTGGGCAACGGTCAGCAACATGCATTTGGTCACGTCGTAATTGCGTGTGTCGGCATATTTTTAAACTCATGCTAAAGTTACCTGGGGCACTCTGTATAACTGGCTTCTCTCTCAGTTAACAGTTGAGGAAAAACTGGCATATGTAATTTACTGACTTCCAGCCTTGAGTGAAAAAAAGCTTGTTGCCCTTCTAGTACCCTTCTAGTAACAGCACCTAATACAAGAGTATGGTAGTATAATTAAGAAGATGTTCTTTTAACTCAACTGTGTTCGAAGGAGTGGAAGATTTGGCATGAGTTAATTATCTAATTCATTCATTTTCTTGCACCGGTATATAAAGCAAAGAAGGACAGCGGAGAGGAGATGCCTGGCTGGCCTAGTTTATACTGAATTCTCATGATATGCGTGGTATAGATACATCAATCGCTATAGCATAAAGGCATTACCATGGCCAAGCGTCTTAAACATGCGGCCCGCAGACCTTTCTCTAGCAGCCCAGCCGTACATGACTGCCTTTGACCCATATTTTTTTTCCTTAATAAAGATGTTAATGCCCTACACAGACGTGGCTGGTCTGAAGCAATTTTTTCTTAAGGCACCCATTTTTGTTAGAATGTAATAAAATAGAAAAAACTATCTTTGAATCGGCATAGGCTTTCAGTTCTTCTTGAGAATAGTATTTTTCCCAAAACCTGATATCAAATCTCCTTCAGAAATTACCCATATATAAAATATGGGAAAGGATATATTGTTCAAATTACCCCCACTCTACCAACTCTTGCCTTCTAAGCTGTATTGACCCACCAATAGACTTAATTTCCTGAGTGCAACCTAGGCCAGCTAGCTGAGGTGAGTTTCAGGTAGGCCACAAATGTTTTAGGAGCCCTTCAACATCCAGTATTGTTTAACCAATTTTCGAAAATTTTTGCAGTAGAATACACCATGAATACTCCGTTATAACCTCCAGTGTCTAAGAAAAAATTGCAGTAGAGCCTGATGGAAGGCTCTTTAAAGAGTAATCGAATATTATAGTGAAAGCGGTTATGAGATCACAACAATGATTGTTCTTAGCACCATAGTTGTACACCACCTCCGGTGTCCATAACCAGAATCACATGAAATAGGGGAAAAAAAAAAATAAGTGAACACAATACTTCAACAACACAATGGGATTTGAACCGAGGTCTCCTGTGTGCCAGCCCAGTATTCTACTACTGAGCCACGCCGGTGCTTGAAACTCCGTTGCGAACTGACCCTGGGCAGGCTTTATTTTGTGAAAGGAATCCCATTAGAAAGCCTTTTAGAATAGCAAAAAAAAGAAACAATCAGGTGTTGCACAATGTGAATTGCATAACGAGTAGGTTGTCAAATGCCCCAGCTCATTACAAAAGCATCAGGCATAATTCATCGTTGTCAGCCGCAACATAAAAAAATTGCGCAAAATTTCTTGCAAGTGTGCAGCAGGTATCACGCTTCTCCGAAGAATGACAAAGAATGGCATAGTGAATGCCTGCCTACTGCACAAAAATTGTGATAATTTATGGTGTATTGGATACCCTGCAAGTGTGCTTGTAGCAGTTACCCAAAGTTTTTTTTAAGAATATTCAGGAAATCCCGCTCTTCCAGCTTTCGGTGTGATTGTGCTGTGCATTGTGTGCAGGCCTGGCTGTTTTTTTTTCTCAAATTGTTACATCACTGTTCACTTGTAAAAAGAATAAGTTCTAATGACTGTGCTCAAATATTCTAGGCATGTGACTTGGTGACAGCTTTACTTCTGGCACTTGGTGCAAAAAAGAGCATCTCGTACATGGTAAGCACTTTTTTCATTGGGCTGACAGTTAATTACTTGTTTTGATGTCAAATTTTATTGTTGTTTGCATTATATTATATGTTTGTGTAATATAAATTGTGACGGTTCTGTGCTAGGCTTTATTATCCATGGAGTGGGAAGTACAAATGCTAAAGATAATGAATGCGTACCAACTAACTCAGCTCTTTGTTATTCTAAGTTGTGAAGTGAAGTTTCAGTGCACGTACCATTATGCAATCTAGGTGATTCCATGTAACCTTGAACAAAGCATGGCTGGCCAATTTCGAAATTGGTGATCTCAGTGCTGTTCACAGCTATTTCAGTGCTGCTTGCCTTTTAAAAAGCTGAAATATAGGTCTGCATTCTATACTTAGTGAGCAGGAAGTCAGATCTACCGTTGCCTATCCTTGTGCAAGGGCAATTTGATGGGCCGTAACTGCAAGCGAAACCATTTAACGCAACATGTTTTTATTGATTGTGAAAGCTGATGTAAGTGGGTAAAGTGTAAAACTATCAAAAAGTGAGTTTTTCTTTTTAATCGTCGTCAGAAGTTTCTTTTGCATGCTCTTTTCTTGAAATTCGTGTGGTTATAACTTTTTATTGAAAAGTGTTAATAATATAAGCTTTGGCAGTTTTAATCTGCATGCTGAGAAAGTGATGCAGAATTTTCACTGCTCTGCCATAGGCCCTTTGTGAAATAAAGGCCTGCAAACTAGACAATGAAATGTTTTTAGGTCAAATTTGAGAGTATTTATAAAAAAATTTGTACTATGCAGAGAATCGAAATATAATTGATCATAAGTGCAAGTATGTATATATTTAGCTAAACAAATGAGAGATATGTAGCTTTAATACATTTTGTGCGATTCACCCCCAAATTGAAAAAAAAAGAAAGCAAAGCAGGTAAGCGTGGCCCTCCACCTCTCTGTCATTATTGATTTACTGTGCTTCAGAAAAAGTTTTTACAGCAGAACCAATTGAGGATCTCTTCTTTCCACTGATTAGGCAACAATATATAAAATTGTGAAAGAAATTCAGGAGGTTGACCCGCCATGCTTTGTTCGATCTTACCAGCAGTAGTGTTCCTGCATATTTAATAGCTGTTACTAGTTGTCGCTTGCAGAACATATATATAATTTGTTATAGTTTGTCAGAAGAATGAGGGTTTATGATTAGCTTGCAACCCCCAGAATTCATGCAAGTTTATGTATATCTAAGTCAATTACCAATAGGGGATCCTACTTCTTGAAAGAAAATTCTTCAAATAATAAGGTTGGGCTGGAGCACATACAGGAGACGTTGTCAAACCATGAATAAGTAAATTACCTCTGTCCCAAATGCGAAAAGTGTACAGCCCTAGTGTATTGCCACGAGTCTCATATGGAACTGAAACATGGAGGAGAACAAAGAGGCCCTAAATGTTGTTCAAAGCAGAGCAGTTCGTTCTACAGTAGAAAATGATAGGTGTGATATTTAGAGGCAGGAAGACAGCATGTTTAGTGGGTCATTGAATTAAAAGGGATAGCCTATATTTTGTCAGCATAAAGAGAAACAAAAGGGGGGGGGGGTGAGGGGAGGAGAAGGCCTGGCATGACATCCCAATGAGTTGGGTAGGCAACCAGTGATCCGTCAGAGGAATAGATGCCAAGGGCTGGGAAACAAAGCAGAAAAAAGACATGAGTTAGACTGAGTGGTGATGTTTGCAGGCATGAAATTGATTCAGCTTGCAGGGTAGGTTGAATTGAAGATTATAGGGAGATGTGCAGTTAAACCTGCTTATAACAAACCTCCATATCATGAATTCCTCGATGTAACGAAGTTTTTCTATTCCCCACCCTTACTCCACAGAAGCACATGTATTTGCAACCTCTGTAACAAAGTAACAGCGGGAGACATCCTTGACATTACGAATTTTCGCCATGGACAATCCAGGCATTTTTCCCTGGATTTTGCATTTTGGCATGAGCATGCACCTTCCACGGTTGCCCCTCCAATGAAGCGCGAAACGACGGCGGTGTGCACAGCACGCTCATGGCCCCGGTGACTCCTGCGCGAGAGTGCAAGGCGGGCAGGCGCGGCAGGCAGGCTTGTGCCTCATGAGCCGTTCCTGCCATCATGGGCAAATGTGCGGATGTGCCCTCCCCATTGCTCCAAACTAAGAACAAGAAAAGTAATTTTATGTTGGCAGTGCCACATTTTTAGTTAGCACCTGGAGCCACATATCTGGAGCCACGCTGCATATGGAGGGCACTTTACCGAATAGTTTTCTGCGGTATCCGTGTCGTTCGCTCTTTGTTTTTGACGCTGTGCGCGTGTGCATGGTATCACGGCGCGCGCGTGGTGTGGCTGCCGACGATGTCCAGCTTTGTTTTTCTGTTTTTTGTTTGTTTTCTAATGCGAGCAACCGGGTCGTCACCACCGAGGGGATGTCAGATTAGGCGCTGATGGAAACTCACCGACACCGTGGTGACAATGACAGATCTTCTGATGTTGACTCGTCACATGCTTCAGTCTTGTGCAGCGCCGTGAGTTCAAGGGCTTTTGCGATTAGCTCTAGCAACAACGCGATGGCGCGTTCAATGCAATGCAGTGAATGCGATATCAACAACTTGTAATGTTATACGAGATAAGGCTGGCAGCTCACTCTTTTGAATTCTATATTGCGGAACTCCTACAAAATGTTGTTGTAAGAAAATATGGCTGCTCCAGGGAGAATTTCACACAGTCTCTTCACGTTAAGGTGCACTGATGCTTGCCAAGATAGCACAAGCGCCAGGGTCGTGACCGTGCCCTCAAAATCAAAGTTCACTGTTGCCACTCGAGTGACCCCCTCTCCGCATCGACGGCAGGTCTAACAGGCAGGGGGGGGGGGGTGGAATGTGTTATCAAATGCACTTTCCAGACGATAGAGAACGGCCGGTTCATTTGATCTCTGCTTCAAGAGTGCTTGCGCGCTTTTACCCGCTCCTAACGTTACGATGCACCAGGGCATGTTAATTCATACTTGTTACGGAACCTGGCGGCGGCGGCAAAAATCGACCGAGAGTGTACATATAATTGCTATTGAAATAAAAACTTATTTTTTACTTACCATCAATCAACTGTGTTGGTTTGGCTCTGCCTTCTGTTCCCCTTCTGTTTAATTTGTGTGCTTATTATTCAAATTTTCCTACTGAACCTGCATATAATGAAATCCTCTTTATAATTAACTTTACCAGGGATTTGTCAATTTTGTTATATTCAGGTTTAACTGTATTCATCATGCAGTGGACATCGAACAGGCAGATAATGATGACTTTAGTAACTTGTTCGTGGGGTTTCTCATGTGTGTATGCATAACTAACGTTGTGCTATGAATTGCTTTTAGGTATTCACAGGCAATAGTCTTAAATTATAGGTGCATTGTGCCATCAAAATTCTTTGCTGTATTATTTGCACTCTTTGTTTTAGCAGTGTGTTATCGTATTAATGCATGCCATTACTATAATAGCTTTGATGCAGCAGCGCTGCACCATTATTGTCCCACATATTTGCACAGGATTGCATTAATGTTTCATGACTTTGCACAGAATAGCACACAGCGTTGGAGGGTTGGCTAGTAAAACAGATACATACCTTGGTTTTTTATTTTTCAGGTGCAAAAGGAGGCCCAGGTCAAGAAAGCAAAGAGTGCAAAGAACATTACACTCACCATGAAGTCAGCTGATGCAGTTCCAAAACTTGTGTTGGCAGTGTAAGTGCTGAGTGGCATCACCGACCTTCTGTTTTGTACTCCACGGTGTGGCTCTCTTAGGAAACTGACTGAAATATGATTTCATTTGCAGGTATTTATTGTCTCCATACAGCCTGCTAAATTGCATTGGCATGGCTACAACACTGTTTTCGAACTTCCTTTTGGCTTTGTATTTTGCCAGTTTTGTGTATGGTAAGTGCTTGGAACTGTTTGACAATAACAATGGAGTGCTAATTTACTTAAAAATTTATACATGTAGAGTAGCTAATATTTTCTTGTTATAGTGTACATGCATCTTAATTGCATGTTTGCTTATACTCAGTTTCATGAATTCCGTAAAGAAGAGCCGACGCTATGCCACTTTCGTGCGCAGATTCTTTCAAAGTGAGATGTCGTGCCCATGTTCAGAACTTGTTGCATGTCCTCATGATCTTTACAAGCGGTCTCGTCAGAAGATTTTTACTTCAAGGCTTCTCTGCGTTTTGTAATTTCGGCCTGGTAATTTTGCTGCATTTTTTATATGAAACAAGTTTTTGGGGCTCTATGATACCGAAGAAAGAGTTTTCACTTGTACATGTTATAACATACAATTGGCAGAAAAAACAACACAACTGTGCTTCATATGTATTTAGTTTTCGTCTCTAAAATACAGACTGCTGGTATGACATTGCCTAGCTCTATTGGCTGCTGGAACCATGCTTGGCAGTGACGCGGATGATATTTCGCGTCATTGCCAAAAAACGGAGCAAGAAGTAAGCAGTTTGAAATTTCCTGCAGCAGATGCAAAAATCGTGGAAAGCCGAAAGCAGATGACATGACTCACCGATTTAGCTGTCACCCGAGACGTTGTTTCGCGATGGCAGGGGCTGTGTTCAAGAAAAGCTGTAGGATGACTTTGACCTAGGTGTGTTGCACAGAGCCGTGCTCAATTTCTGTTAAAGGAAGGAAATTCCAATGATGCCCAAGCTCACCGTTAGCAGCGCTCGTCACTTGCAGACAACAGGGTGCGGAAGGATACACAGTGTGCTCACCCTCACGATTGGTTGAGAGGAACTTAAGCTTCCACAGTGCTGCATGTAACTACTGAAACAGAGTATAGCTAAATTTTACTGGTGCTGTTTGCTATACCAGGTGGTTTCTGAAAACTTCAATCAAGCTTTGAAATGACTCTATTATACCTTTCTTAGTAGATAGAGATCTTCACCAAGGGGGAAGTCTATGTGCTCATGAATCTCCTATGCAAAAAATTTTTCGAAACCATGAAGTTTAAGCAAAGGTGTTTTGGTTATCCCATGAGGCGGATACCTTCTTGTTTTAGTGTCACGAGCATGCTGTTGGAAACTAAAGGGGGGCTGTGACAAGCAGGCAGGACCCTGCACAAAAGCCTTGAGCATTTTCTGTATGTTTTTGTTTATCGTACAGTACTTCTGATTTAAACATGGGTGACACCAGCACATGGTAGAACGTTGGGGTGGTCATAATACCTTTATGATGCAGCAGAAAAAGCAACATATAACTGTCGTGTTGAGTGTAGGCTCATGTACTATGGTGTCACTGATCTGAGTGAGTACCTGGTGTGGACAAGCTTTGCTTTGCTGGTTGACTTATTGACTGTTGCCGAACTGAGGTTGTGCGTTTTGAAGCACTTTCAACTGGTCGATAGCAAAAACGTGGCTCTTGCAAAGGATTGTGGTCCACGGTACCTTTTGGTTCAAGACGTTTGGTTTGCCGCCACACCAGCATTTTTGCTGGTGCCATCACTTTCTGCTTGTTCTACCAAGCAGTTGTGGTCACCTTTTCTCATAAATTAGTGCATAATGCTTTGGAGTGCTGTGCAGCTTAGTTTAATAACCAATGCAGTCACTATGGCTTACCTATAATTGTGCGAGCAATCATTTCGTCGTTCAAGTGGCATGCACCTCTGGACACATGTATCTTGTTCTGCTACAAAGGGTGTTTTCACAGATGTTTTGTGACATGTAAATATTTGCTGCACATTATATGTAGTCTGATGAAACATTCATGTGAACTCATAGCAAACTTTTCTGTTGCAAAGATACCATCTACGGTTTGATATAATGAATGGCAGTTGTAATAAAATATTTCTGACTCCAGAAATTAACAACTCTTGCCATTTTCTGGCTTTTCTTTGATGTCTTTGACTTTTGCTGTACTACTTGAAATGTTGGTCCCTCGTGCACTTGAACATTGAGTTTTAATGCGTGCGAAATCTGCCCACTCGACACACATTTGTCTTTGAAGATGACTGAAATGTATCAGCACTTCACACGTCAAAGTCCTTGAAATACTAGAGACACCAAATGATGTAGCTCATTGCTTCAAAAGCAATGTCGATCGTTTTTTGTCCTACAATACATATAACTGAGCGGCCGTTTTGTTCTGTTGGCCTTTTTATGTGCTCAGCAGTTTATACAAATTTCGTCAAAAGTAGACAGTGCTATATATGCAGCACAAGTATAGTACTGTATTGGCATACTTGATCAGGTAGAGTACACGTACATTTGTGAGAAATCCTTAAGCGATTTGGGAACATACATATGTTCATACATGTCACCATGTGCTCATATTTTGAGCATTAAGAGGTAATCACCATTTGTGCTTGAAAATACTAAATAAAGCTATTGCGACAAAATATGACTGCATGTTTTAAAGGCTAACTGTATATCTATACTCACATGCTGTGCTTCAGACCCATCTCTCATCGTTCCATGTGTTTTCCCATTTCCATTTACCACTGAATTGTTGATCTACACTCGCATGCCATGCTCCAGACTGACAGAGGTGCAACAGCTGCGCCAATTGTGCCAATTTGATACGATTTCCCATTTTTTGCACCGAGCTGCTCCAATACGATGAAATTTGCCAAAATTGTTCCACACTGTGCCAAAATGCCCAACCAGACTCAAAATTTTCCTAGTTGTGCTAATTTAAGCTAGAAATGGGGCCACATGTAGTTTGCGTTGTCGATCAATTCAGGGATACAGGCACACAGACCCTAACCCACAGTGTATTTTATTATACTCATTAGGTTAGGACACTCGCGAGCGACCAGATAAACTAACAACACCACGCGGCCACTAATATTGGTCCACAACTTCAAGAAAAAATGAGTTACCATAGCCACCAATGCTTCACGAAAATATGCATGCACTTATGGTGTGTTAGGAACTAAAGCTGGAACGGTGCTGCGAACGACGGCATTGCCGGTGACTGCGGTGGTTGCCATAGCAACAGCACATGCAATGGATAGCTGCAGCCGTTGCTGGGCCATGGCTGGGTTATCGGGTGTGTGCTGTTGTTAGTTTATCTAGTCAAATGCACCTTGCAAGTGAGCCGAGTGGTACCCTAAACCTAACCTCATCTTAAAAAAAAAAAAACAAATTTGGGCGGGGGTTGTAGCGGTTTGGAAATTTCTTAGCCTCGTCCTAATTACTGCAGAATGCCACCTTTGCCGCAGTACTTGGTGCATTGCGGAAAAACGATTTAAGCTTTCGAAGGGGCTGTTAACACCAGTTGCCCCGCCGCGGTGGTCTAGTGGCTAAAGTACTCAGCTGCTGACCGTAGGCCGCAGGATCGAATCCCGGCGGTGGCGGCTGCATTGACGATGGAGACAAAATGTTTTAGGCCCGTGTGCTCAGATTTGGGTGCACGTTAAAGAACCCCAGGTGGTCAAAATTTCCCGAGCCCTCCACTACGGCGTCTCCCATAATTATATGGTGGTTTAGGGATGTTAAACCCCACATATCTGTTAGCGCTAGTCACTGGACATGGCACTGTTTAAGTACTCATGTGTGTATGCAGTGTATAATTATGAGTACTAATACGATCGCTGACGTCTAAAAATGTTACTGGCCATCACTTAGGGCAGTGTATGATACTTCTGCTGCCCTAAAAAGTTAAACAAAAGGTTGTGCCAGTTTTTGTTTTTTTTTTTGCTACCCCTATTTCTCAGTTTTATGAATGTCCAGAATCTCAAGGTCGCCAGCTTGGCAGATCCACATCTGAATCCTGGTCCGTCAAAGAATTTGATAGGTGTGGCAAATGCTAATGTTTTGCTGAATGGGATGGTTCAAAGTAGTACTTTTATTGAAATAACAGTGCCCATACTTACTGTGCACTATTTAGAGGATTTAGGTAGGAGGAGCCTTCTTTTTTTATAGTGCTCCAAATTTTTTCTTTCGTGGTAAAAAATGACTCCTCATTACCTGCTCCGAATTTGAGTTTAAGTGCTACAAAAGTAAGATTTTACTGCTCCAAAAATTGCTCCAAATTCTATTTCGGCTGTTGTACCCCTGGACTGACCTCTCATCATTCCCAATGTTTTCCTATTTCCACTTGTTGCTTAACTGTGAATCTACATGCTGTTTTTCAGATACACCTCTCATCGTTTCTTGTGTTTTCCCTTTTTCACTTATCACTTTGTTCTCTTAAGTGCGAAATATCTTGGATTCATTCGCAGAAGAATAAAAAAAAAAAAAAAAACACTGGACAACCGTTAACAGATGCGTCCCAAAAGAGTGCGTGTTTTCTCCCCGATTACTCTGAAAAACACACAGCTTGAAGCAGCAAAGTGCTAGGCCTCAAACCGGAAGTACCGTAGTACACAATGCATAGTTTTGCGATCCACCTAGTGGCTAATTATGAAACAATGTTCACAAAGGCATCTAGCTCACAAAGCACTTACACGAGAGCTGGCATGTACTGGCAAGTGTACGAATGGTTTTATAGGTGACAGTGGACATTCGCAAGTACTGTTGCTTAGAGCTCATTTGGGATACAATCACAGGCATGCAGGTGGTGCATAAAAGAAGAGACTTGTGCGTTGGGAGCCTTTTCAAATAATATGTGATGCAGACAACCATTGATTGAGATCTGAAAATGTTTTGGAAGCTTTTACTTAAGACATCACAGATATGTGATCACTGATGTGGGATACGTGTTTTTCTCATTTATTTGACTGAAGATTAGCAGTAATGCTATTACATTAAATGTTCCTATGATTGACTAATTGGCTAATAGTTGTCAAGCTTGCTTACTGCATACTAGTTAGTTATGACACTGTGAAGGAGAGAGCAAGGGATTTTTATCTGTTTATAACATGATATTGTAGTCCACCGTGGGGGATCAGTGGCTAAGGTGCTCAGCTGCTGATTCGAAGTTCTATCCCGGCC